CCTAAATTAAAACAAGGTTTCTTTTTCTTCTCAGATGAAAAAATACAATGACATCTTCTTCCCAAACTAAACCTTGAAATAATGACGATGACATCTTCTTCCCTACTTAAACTCTTGAAATAAACCCTAAAATTCCTCTGAGTTGTCTTTGCTTTTCGAAGAAGAGCCCTTGTGGTAAGGACACTCGAAATTGTGGTCGGCCTCTTCCCATTGATGCTCTAGCATATGGAAAACTGTGACTTGACTCACCGATTCCCTCCATGTCCAAAACTATTCAGTCGATTTCAGTTCGCCTTAATGCATCTAGAACATAGATCTAACCTGCTAGGGTCCATATTACACGTACAGTCACAAACATTATGTCCATGCATGGGTCTTCAAGCTCAAAAGGCCCAAAAATTAAGTCCACAAGGTGTATGGGACTCCCATGTCCATAAACCTGGAACCTTTATGCCATGAGAACCCTCTTAGGTTCAAGATCTGAAGTCATCACTCTATATTACGCTCTAAAACCGAATGTGACTTAGAAATGCCCCAAAAAATGACAAGATTCAAGCCCTAAAGAGGATCTAACAAATGGGAAGTCAAGGTTGAAGCTTTTTACCTTCAATGAGCTAGAAATGAAGCAAAACCTCTGGATCTACTTGCTTCTTCTGGAACCCCCAAGCTTCCACTTCTTTCTTCAAGCTTCAATCAACCAAAAACACACAAAAATGGCTCAAGGACACTCCAAATGCTTTAGGATTTCGAGTTAGGGCTTTTGTGGACTGTGAGAGACGATGGAGGCTGAAATGGGAAAAGTTAAGGCGTTTAAATAGGGTGCAAACCCTATATATTATGGTTTCCTCCAGACAGTCCTACTTGTCGAGGTGGGCTCCCGACTCGTCAAATAGGTTACTTAAAACCCGTGTCCAAAATTGAGTCTACTCGACGAGTTGGGCCTCCAACTCGTCGAGTCCCAGTGTAAAACATGCAATTACTTAAATTTAAAAATACGTACCGGGAACCGAGTGTTACACATTATACCAAAACATGATTGGTTCATTATTATGTCTAACAGCTAGTCGACCTGATATAATGTTTGTCATTTGTAATTGTGCTAGGTACCAATCAAATCCTAGGGAACCACATCTCACTGTTGTCAAGAACATTTTTCATTATCTCAAAGGCACAGTTTCATTAGGATTGTGGTATCCTTCGAAAATAGGATTTTTTATACAAGCATTTTCAGATGCATATTTTCGAGGTTGTCAACTTGATCGAAAAAGAACAAGTTGTGGGTGTCAACTTTTGGATCGGAAGCTTGTTAGCTGGCAATCAAAAAGGCAAGCCTGTTTTTCGATTTCCACAATAGAAGTAGAGTATGTTGTTGTTGCAGCTTGCACTTCTCAAATCAAGATGATTCAAATTCTGTTGTATTGTGATTCACAAACTGCCATACACATCTGCCATAATCCAGTGCAACATTCGAAGACAAAACACATTGTGCTTTGTTACCACTTTATCAAAGATCATGTTGAGGAAGGCAACATTGAAGTTCATTTTGTGAAAACTACTGATCAACTTGCTGATATTTTCACAAAACCATTGGATGAGAAAACTTTTCTAAGGATTTTATTGGGCTTAGCCATGTTATATGCGAATGTTGTTCCTGGTTTGAATTCGTCACAATGTCAATTGATGTCGAACTCTCACTGATCCATTCAGCAGTTATTGTTCATAGTCAACTCTTCGGCATGCTTCACATTCGATATTCTTTTGAACGATTCAGCACACACTTCGCTACCTCATTCCTATCACAAAGTCTGGAAACATTTTTGTTTCTTTTCTAATTTTTTTTTATTTTCATTCAAAAATCAAAAATATCAAAATGATTTTCTTATTTTTGTTATTTTCTTTCTAAAACAAAAAGGCAACAATATATTTTCTTCTATTTTGTGTGTTTACCATTTTCTGAAGCTTTATAGCGAAGATCTATAGTGGAACATGTTTTGAAGCTCTAGGAAAGTTCAATTCTTCGATACTTTGCACTAGTTAGGTGTCCCTAGAAGCATGTTGCAGCATGTCGACCCTAGCCTCCATGACTCAATGTGCTTTCGAAGCCTTAATGGATTTCTCAACACGAGGATTCCTTCCTGATCAGGATATATTCACATTAGTCTCTGATCTACCTTACTCTACTCAAATGAGTTAAGAGTTTTCTACTTGGCCAACTAATAGCAGAGGTATTTTTGATTCTTTGACCAATCTTTTTCACCTACTACTCTTAGACGTTCACACACAATGACACATACCTAAGACATCTCTGTATTAAACCAACGAGGTTATAGGTATGTAATCAATCTGTGTTGATGATCTAGATTCATGAGACCGTGATGAAGGTGAACCCAATATTTCGAAACATTGATGGAATTGACAGGGAAGTTTTGTTCTAGAATGTAACGAAACATTTGTTTCAGTACCTTAATTTGATATTCAAAATCATATTCTCTCTTTTTGCGTAGTCTTGCTAAAATGTTCGAAACCCACGACATTTTTACCCAACAAGATCCAGGACTTTTTTTAATATGATTTCCGTCTGAGTATCAGTTTGATTCTTTGTTACTTGCAATAATCTTCTCACCATACTTGTCACTTACTACACTTGTCAAACAGGTCATTTCGTTTACAATTTCTCACACTTATATTGATTTGTGATATGTAATGAAATTTTTGTCCACCCGCGAAGCCTTATAAAAGAATCCTTTCGATACTTCTCTATAAGTATTCGATTGTAATTCACGGGAACCCACACAAGCTGTTCGACATCTCTCTTGATGTAGAATGAAGCGATCTTTTCCTTGGATCTTGTTGCTTTATGTCAATTTTTCATTGACATCACAATTCTAATTTTTTTTTTATCTTGATCGCATCTCAATCTTTGGCACACGTACACACACCAAAATCCTTGAGGTTCTGGTTAATACCAACTCAGGTTGATGATTTCAACAAGACTGGTTTATGACTTCTCTTTTCAACATAAAAGTGAAAGAGACTTACCTCCACGCCGAAGGGTTTATAACGCTTCCTTTCTTCTTGGGGAAACAAATAGACTGATTGATGTGACGTTTTGGTTACCTTGCACTTTTCAAGGAAAAAGTGATCATCATTTCTCATATGTGGCTACTTTTATGGCTACTGGTTCGGTTTTCCAGGTGACATGTGGATTGGATTTAATGCTTAAACTGCTTCAAATTCAAATTGGGGTTTGCGTATAAAGGGTTTTTGGATACCTCTTTCCAACTTTACGCGAAACAAGATCTCCTAAATATCTTCATGCCTACATACGTTATGTTCTTCCAAATTCTTTCAAAACCCTAATAATGGCGGTTGTTCATGATCAAGTTGATCAGTCTCAAACCACAGAGGACATTACTTCTCAACCTTTGATGAAGATTCAAAGCACCAATTATTGATTTCAACTGAATGTTACTCAATATCCTAACAGATTGAAGATGTTCATCATTGCTCTAAATCATCCGGTTTTATAAACAATAATGTCGACATCTTTTTCTGTTCCGATGTCGTGGTTGTCTCTTGCTGTTTCAATTGTTGTGTTCAACAAGATAGTCAAGGTGGTTACTTTTCAATTGTCTACTAAGAAGAAGTTCACAATAACAAAGAAGGTGTTTGCTCAGATCTTGAAACTTCCCAATGTTTGCCCGTTTTATGAAGTATCGAATGAACAAGTGCTTTACATGTTCAATGAAATGGGGTATCAACCAACTTTAACCAAGATAAGTGATTTCAAGAAATCTTCTTTACCTTGCATATGGAATTTATTGTTTGGTATTTTCCTTCGATGCCTGACGGGTCAAAGTGTTGGACTGGATAAGAAAAAATTGGAGATATATGCTATGGTATCAGGTATTTATCATGATCTACAGGTGGATTATGTGACACCATTGTGGGATGAGTTTGTTAAGAGCATCAGCAACACGAATGTGGTGAATGGAATGTCGTGTGCTCGATATTGGAGTTTAATCTTACAGTATGCATATGAAAAGGAGTGTGTTGTTGTTCCTGAAGATGAACCTAAGGCTGGATTTTCTTTGTATCATCATCCAAAGATGGTGGAGGATAATCAGGATGCGTTACCAACGGTTCCTCATGTTCCTGATACTATGCTTCGTAGAGATGATCCTACGAATCTAGTTTTGGTGGCTTATCTCACCACTATCAATCCTTCAATTGAAACTGGAGTGTTTTTATCAAAAGAAGCTAGTGGCCCATCGAAGAAGAGTAAAGGATCTAAGAAAGGATTAAAGGATAGTCCTTCAAAGCCTAGTCCAAAGCCTGTTGAAAAAGTTGTTATAGTTTCTGCAAAGAAGGTTTCAAAGAAAGTTGTTAAGCCAATTGTCGAAGACATGTCTATTCCAACCAAGGAAGTGATACCTTCGATGTCTAGGATTCTTAAATGTTTGGAGAAAATGGCTCATAGGCCTCGTCATTCCCCAGAAAAGACAAGTGATAAAGGTGCGAAATATAATATTATTCGCAAGCCTCATCTAAATGGAAAATGTGTTGTTATTCGCAAGATTCTTTCTTCGATGTCTCCCGCATCCAAAAAGTGAAGTGCTAAAGATATGGCGAAACACATATCTAAGAAGAAAAAGAAGACAAAAGTTGTTGAGGATGATATGGAAGAAGTTGTTCCTGAGTCAAATTTTAATGGAAGTGGTAAGTCTCCATCACCACCTCGTAATATTAATATGGGTATTCCATCACCAACGAGGGGCTCTCCAGTCAAGTCGAATGTCGAGGAGATTGGAAGTCCTACTGGCACTATGAAAACCTCTAATGTACTCGTAACCACTAATCAAGGTGTTCCTTCGAAGATATCCACTCCTGAACAAATTGTTGTCATACCACCGAAAGTTCCGATTGTTGAGTCAGTTTCAGAGGAGGTTTGAACTTCAGACATCCCTACGAACATATCTAATACAGACGCAAATGTCAATATGGGTGAAGGAGTGTCAAAAAATGAAACCCAAGGTACTTCTCATCTTATTATTTCATCTTCCTTCGATACATCTACCATTGACACCACTATTTCATTACCACCATTCCATAATTCTATTCCTCTTACCTTACCCCAATTCACTCAATCACCAACTTTTGAGAACATCATCAATCAACCCATCACTTCATTGTTTCCATCCCAATCTACTAAAGGCTCCAGAATTGTTCAAGAAGATGAAACAACTGAAGATGGAGAGTTTATGGGAACTTTTAAAGATATTGAATTTGATCCAGAAGAAGAAAACATTCGTGATCACATGTTGATGTTAGGGAAACAATTCAAGATTCTCAACAGGAAGCTTAATTCTTAATTGCAGCTTCAAGCTGATGCAGGGGGTCAAATTTATGTTTCTAGGATTGAAGTAGATGTGATGCTGAAGGCTCAAGAGCATCGTTTATGACATGAATTGGAGCTTCTGGACCGGAATAATGAGAATCATGTTAAGGCTAAATCTTCGACTTTCAATCATGAGCTTAAGGAGTTGAAATTTGTGGCCAAAGAAAGGCATCTTTTATTTTTTTTATGATGTCAAGAAGGTTCGTGAAGATGTCAATCTAAAAATTGAAGAACTAAGGGTTGATTTGGTGAAGGAAGTTGCAGCTTTTAGTCATGATTATTCTTCTCTACACACCAAAGTGGATATAATCGTTGATGTTGTTATGAATGTTGTCAAGTGTTATCATTCACTACTTTCGAAGGTTGATAAGAAGGACGAACTTGATGTTCAGAGTTTGGGCAAAGTTGAAGAGTTGTTGAATACTCTTAAGGAATTGATTTCGAAGTCTCGTTCGTCATCATCCGCATTACTTACTCCTGAGTTTTTAACTCAAAAGTTTCGCTTGTTAGAATGTATTATTCACAATGAATGAGCCCCACTTGTGAAAATGGCTACTTTAATGCCAACAGATGCCCCACGTGTTCACATAGGGGTGCAAGGGGGAGAAAAGATAAATGTTGTCATGGGTACGGGTTCGAAGCCAGATATGGGAGGAAGTGGTTCTTCGAAAGTAGATGATGATGCGAAAGTATTTGGGAAAGTCATCTCTAATTCACACTTTCTTTCCAAAGACTTCAACTACAACTACTTCAAAAATAACAACAACAACAAGTCCATTGACAAAAGGGATTATGATTGGTTCTACTATTGGGGGTTAAAGTTTGTCGAAGCCACCTCCATCAACAGAAGAGATGAAAAACAAAGGGAAAGGTGTTTCTTTAGAACCTACTGTCGAAGAAAAGAACAATGTTGTTGAAAAAGAAATCGAGAAACAAAGAAAGATTCAAAGCATTCTTCGACAAAGGGCTAATAACCCTCCTGGTATTGATAAGGGAGATACTTCAAAGCATTTTTCTTATGAATACATTGAAGCTCAGGTCTTAACTGGTGAAATGCATGACTTTGAGAAAATTCCCAAGAAGAGCTATCCCATAGAAAACTCTGATTTTCCAATCAACAAGATGATGTTCATGGCATAAAAATATCAGAATGCTGAAAAGTTTGAAGACAAAGAAGAATTCAAAAGGTTAAAAAATTGTTTTCATGCTGTTCTCGGTGGAAAGGAAGAGGAAATTTGGTCGCCGGTCAAGATAGTTCAAGTTCTAAATATTTCCAAATATATATGTTTTAAGTTTTGAGCATTCTAACACTCCTAAGTGTACATGCAACCCTAAATACCTTGGATCCATGTTTTCTCTATTATACATACAAATATGAATATCCAAGGTATTATCCTAACTAGCATACCAAAACATTGATACTAGGGTAGTAAAATAAATAGAATACATACCTTGTTGTTGTTGCTTGACTCCATGAAGCTTGAGAGCCTAGTGCCCCAAGTGTGACACCTCAAATGGTTCACACAACATCATGAACACTTGGAATAACAATGAGAAGAAGACACTCCAAGTTCAAATTGACTAACCCTCATATATGTATTACTTGTGTCAATTTCTTGAGCTAAAGGGGTCCTTATATAGTGTGCACATAAGGGTTACACCATGTAACCCATGACTTTACCCCTTTCTTATGCTACATAGGTTTAAACCTCCATGGAGTATCCATGGACCACCACATGGGTTAATTTCAACATAAGGAATCTTGGATCATAAGCTGTCACACCCCGAAAATCAAAGGCGAAAACATTTCCGGGGTGGACTCCACGTTGTGTATCAAATCCAATGTACATAGTAATCACAGTAAACAACCAATACATTACATATATAAGAAAGTTTACATTTGTTTCAAAAGTAAAGTTATACAAGATATACATATGCATCATATTAACAAAAGTTGAGACGAGTCCTCTGAGCACTCCGTCTTCGCCAAAAGATATCGCCGGGTACCTGTCTAACTTGGACCTGAGAATACAAGCGGTTTGAAAATCAGCATAAAGCTGGTGAGTTCATAAGCGGTTTTGTTTTATGAAATTGTATCGGTTTCCTTTAGATTCCCGAAAAGGTTTATTATCCAAGAAATCCCATATTTTCTTATGTAAAGTTAGTTTAGTTATCATTTCTTACAAATTCGATTACGTGTTGTATTTTACCCCAGGAAAATCCCATATTTTCCTAATTGTAAGACCAGTTGAATATCACAAAGTATAGTTTAATACACAAAACTATATATTGAAAATCTTGGGATCACTATCCCGAAAGAGATATAAGATAGTTTGACACATATGAAAATACAGATTTAAGATCATGGGACTACCATCCCGAACTAGACACAAGATAATTTGATATATATGAAAATATAGATTGGGAACCATGGGATTATTATCCCGGACAAAATATAGATTTAGACCATGGGGTTATCATCCCGTACTTGATATAGATTGAAATTCATGGGATTATCATCCCATACTAAATATAGATTGAAAACCATGGGATCACTATCCCGGACAAGATATAGGTGTAAACCATGGGATTACTATCCCATAATAGCTATAGATTCAAAACCATGGGATTACTATCCCGTATAATATATAGTTAAAAACCATGGGGCAAACATCCTGAATTAGATATGAAATACCATAATATACACGAACTGTAGATAGAAAGTAGTTTGATAGCCTTGGGACTAACATCCCGAACTAATTACAAGATAGTTTGATATACTAAGAAATATAATTTGAAAACCATGGGATCACTATCCCGCACCAGATATAAGGTATATACATACTGAAAACCATGGGAATAACATCCCGTACCAGATACAAGTTCAATAGACTGAAAACCATGGGACTACTATCCCGGACTAGATACAAAATAGTTTGATAAAACCATCGGATCACTATCCCGAACGAGATATAGATTCTAAAACCCAAGCTGTGAATAAACTTATATTAGTACATGTTGTGAGTCGGGTAACCATACTAATATGACAACGAGACCTCCTTGACGCTTTTCAGACGTCGAATGATATCCAGAAATTTCTCACCCCAGACGTGCCCGCCTAACTGTAGCTAGCAGTTAAGGTGTGGGATTGTCAGTCCCGAATAGATCTATTCACAAATTCCTCGCTCTCCCTCCAGGGGACTCTGGTTACACTTCCAGGGAGGATTTACTGATCATCCATAAAGGGTAGTGACTATCTCACAAACTAGTACTAAACTATTCACAGGGTTCTCATACGATATCAACATACAAAGGATTATGAAACGTAATACAGTGAATATAGATACATACAGTGAAAATATCTGACAATACATTCAAATGATACGGAGATAAACTGAATCAGACATAGTTTATCTAATAACTTTATATACACATTAGTACATGATAAAACGAACAATAAAGAACCACAAATTATTCCCATAATAATTTGATTTGTTTTGTTATTTCCTTAACTAAAATCCATTAGTTGTAATTGATAAACCATTCCTTATGCTCAGCATAATACATAAGGAGTAAAAGTGTTTGTAAATTTGCCAGATATTATTTGAAACATATCAATGTCATGATTTGAAAACAGTTATAGTTTTCTTGTATTCCCCCCCTGAAAACATTGAAAAACACGGAAAAGGACGTAGGGGTATGAACTCACCGGATGAGAAATGTGGCGATTTCGGATGCTAAACGTTGGTCCGGGGCTTGCAAAAGCACGAGGTTCCTAATTATAATGTAAAGATACACATTTGTATCTAATTAGGACTTAGATTGATTATTTGATAAGAACAATTACTTCTAGTCGGGAAAACACTCTGATACAAGTGTTTGGAGGGACCCGGGGAACATTTAGGGACACATGTAGTTAGGATATTGAATTTGGACTTCAAATGAACACTCCTTAGGGAGTTTACGGCCACAAGACCCTCTACCCATGAGTTTACGGCCGTAAACTCATGGTGGGGTGAGATATGGCACAAAATGGCTTGTAACACTTAAGGACATTTTTCTAGGTTTGGATTTAAAGGCTTGGAATGGATTTAAATCATCAAAATGACATATTTATGGGAGTTTACGGCCTAGCATAGGCTCCTGGCCGTAAACTCCTTAATACTCTTGAAAATGGTGTTAAATGATGCTAAAACAAATCACATGTGATTGGAAAAATTGTTTCAAGGCTCTACATGCATTTTCTTGATATTTTGAAGAGATTTTTGGAGTTTACGGCCTATGAGACCCCTCTCATGGCCGTAAAATCTCTTAGAGAGTATTTCCATGTGTTTTAAAGCCAAAAACTTGTTTGTATGGACTTCTAAAATTCATTCCAAGGCTTTAGGGGTGTTATAGGGGCTTTTTGACACTTTAAAATGAATTTATACCATATTTTAAGGAGTTTACGGCCCAAGCTTTTGCCTTGACCGTAAACTCACAATAACCCCTCAAAATTTATGTTTCAAGTGTCCAAATGCTAAGACCAATATTCTATAATTCATATCTAAGCCTTATTAGTGATTTGGAAGGGTTTAAGGTCAAGAAAACCCTATAAACATGAGTTTACGGCCCAAGCTTGTGCCTTGGCCGTAAACTCCTTCAAATCCATTAAAATCCATGATTAAAATGTTATAAGTCCAATTCATGAAGCCATTAAGCCATATTTAAAGTCTAAATGTGTTTAGGAAGGGTTTTAGGGCTTAAAAACCCCTTAACTATGAGTTTACGGCCTAAGATTAATCCATGGCCGTAAACTCACATTCAAGGCTTTAAATCATGATTAAATCCCTAATTTGGAAGCCAAATATGCTATAGATTAAGGTTAGGAAGGTACCTTAGGGATTTGAGGCCTTAAAATTGAGTTTTGGACCTTTAAACTTTGGATTTAGGAGAGAAGTTAGAGAGAGAGTATAGAGAGGAAGATAAAGCTTCAAATGAGTGCTTAAACACGTTTATATAGGTCCTAAAACTTGGACACGGTGGAATTCTACCCGATACCGGCATTAAACGAGGCTTTAGGTCGCACCCGATTAAGTTTCCGTCACCCGGCGGGGACGTTTCTAAAACTTATGAAATAAATATTTTGGGCTAATTACATGAGTTCCTAAGTGGTTTAGACACTCATTAAATTATAATAAACATATAAGTTTAAATTTTTTTAACCCAAAGTGAAAATGGAACGAATTTGATACGGTGAATTTTTCGGGTAGAACGGGTTTCGGCGATGAACAACTTCGGGTTGTTACATAAGCCCACATATATAAGAATGAATGATTTACACAATCAATCCCTATATATTTAATTCGTCTCTTTTGATCAATAAGTTAAGTCTAAATTTATTCTTGATCAATACTAATTAAAACTTGTAATATATTAATATGTCACAAAAGTCCTCTTCTCACAAACGGTCTATCCAAATGTCCCGATGCCATGCAACCCAAATGGACCATGCCGAGTCGGGTCAAGTCTTACCAATTATAGTTATGTACTTAGACTATAATCCAATAGTCTCTCACTTGGATAAGTCTAAAACTATTATTGCATATGACTTCAAACCTAACTGGCAATCGTAGCTCTCAAAAGCTGTTGTCGAACTCTGACCTTGTCGATGAACTCTGACATTTGTCAATGACTTATCCATTAGATAAGGGATCATATATTCCTCCATGCTAGATATCATATGGACTGAGGCATGGATTATAATCATTCTCTCTATCCATTTGTTGTTTCCCGATTTCCGATTTATGACGACTGACTGATTGAACAAATCAAATCAGTCCTTGCTTGGCCAAGCACTCACACGTGTCATCACTAAATCATCGAGGGGCCTACATATATCACTTTTATCCCAAAGGTAAACGGAATGGATAAAGTTCGACTCACATGGCTTGTTCTACTACTTGTTAGATCATACACAAAGGCACATTTTATAACATCGAATTACCGAATGCGTTTTCGTGCAATTAATGTACAACCAACTCATAGTAAAAACTCATATCTCTAGGTTTGAAGAATATAAGATATTATCGTTTCATGATCACACGTGATAAAATCCATGAAGCGATTCAAATGAGCACGGGTTGAATCCAGTACTCAGA